ACTTTACCCCTTTTTCATTCTCCCCATACCTCTTTTTTTTCTTTTTTACTTCTCTACGAGAAAGTGTCATCAGATTGGTAGTACTCTATTGTAGAGCAGTGATTCTGACAAGGTCAGTGAAACCATCTGTTGATATCTAGAGGTTACATCCTCAGTAAGTTGAGGATCTCAGAAGAAGGAAAATTATCATTTAGGCAGACCGCTCCTGGGTTATACTCTAGCGTAGAATTTTAGCTCTGCTTAAATTCTACTGTGATAATGAGACAGATCGAGAGAATTTTTATTTGAACAGGCATGAAGTACTTAATAGATAGGTGGTAGGATCAGCCATCTGATTCCTAAAATTAATATACTGCCAATATATAAAATAAAAGTAGGATCGCTGAAGTAAAAAAAATATAATATTAGCTTTATCATTTTGCATCAATTTAATATTGACTGTTTTAATATATCGTAAACAAATATTTATATTTTTTATTCTGATTTATATTAAATCTAACATTTATCTATAAAAATATTTATGATATAAGCTTATATTCCAATTTTTAACAAACAATAAAATATAACAATATTTTAGTTATCACCTTCTTTTTGACCTTTTTTTCGCTTTACTCTTTTCCCTTCCTCTTTTTCTTTTTTCTTGTTTCTTTTTTTTACCTGCAACCTCACTTTCATCTTCACCTTCACTCTCACCTTCATTTTCACCTATGCTTTTACTCTCACCTTCACTCTTATCTTTATTCTCACCTTCTATATCTTCAGTACTATAAACTTGTGATTGACTTTTTGTTTTGACAACTTCACCTATAGGTATTTCTGGCCTTCTTGGGCTAGATACTAGTGTTGTTAATTTAATTAGTTCTCCTGTTGCTAGAGTTGTTGTAGGTATTGTGGTTGCTGGGTTGCTGCTTTGGAGTTGCTGGGTTGCTGCTTTGAAGGTTGCTGGGGTTGCTGCTTTGGAGGTTGCTGGGTTGCTGCTTTGGAGGTTGCTAGGGTTGCTGCTTTGGAGATTGCTGAGGTTGCTGCGATGGTAGTTGTGGGCCTCTTCAATGCATCTTGTAGACTTGGAAATAGGGAACTTTTTTCTTTATCAGTTTTCCTTTGTTTATATAGTATAACTCTATTTTTGTTACCTACATCATCTCTATCCTTCCTTTTACTTGTTCCTTCACTTTCTTTTCTTGTTTTTGTTTTTTT